TACCTTGGAATGAACAGGTCTTTGTATAGAAGAAATCAATTCACTTGCTAAAAGCTGAGCTGTGTTCAAAAATGTAGCTGTATCCAAACACAGGCCATGTATGCATACCTTGCACCTGTCCTTTAAATGACAATGTGCAATCTAGTTTGTGTATTTGCTCACTTGACTCATAGAAATGGGGCCAGGTGTAAACCACAACCACAGGAAGTGTATATTTTGGTGAAGTATGTTGAAATAGAAATAGTCAGTCCATGGGTTCAGCTCCCAGAGGAGGGAGCCCAGAGAGTCACAAGTGGCACAGGAGAGATGTTAGTGAGGTGAGCTGCCATGGTACCAACAACCCCACAGCTAAAAACAAAACCAGTAGCTGGGAACATGCAGAGATGTCAGCCTTTAAAGGTTTGGGATATTGTTCTGTGCTTCTTTGTCTTTGAGCTGTTGATTTTCAACTTCCTGCAAGTGTGAGAGATGGAAACTCACAGTCCTGTCCAACTAAAACCTGACACTGAGTTTGTTTGCTTGAGGCCAGGTACCATGAGACTCATATTGCCAGGCATGAGGGCTCCCATACTGAAACTACAGGTTTTTCAAGTCCAGGAGTCTGTGGCTTGCCCATTTTCTAGTGGTTCTTCTGGCTAAGGAATGTCTTACCCTAGTGACTGTGAAACATTCTTAGGAAACTCTGTTTGCCTTGGACAGGGAGATATATGGGCAAGCTTAAGGATGGTATCTAGGGCACAGATAATACTGAGTTTAATCCTGCTGCCCTTCTTTTATTACATTCAAAATATCTTGAAATAACTTGGTTCTGTGTTGTGAGTCCAGATGCTGTCTTTTGCAGGGCTCATATTGCTGTAAAGAGAACAAAGTGTAAATTGCTCATTTGTATCCTATCAAGCTTCTCAGGATTTTAGCAGATTCTGATCTGCTCTGGGATGAAACCAAGAACTGTTCATGTTACTGTTTGAGAGAAAAATCAACAGAAGAGATTCATCTAGCCCTATTTATCTAGTTGACTCTAAGGCTCAGATCTCCCATGCTGTAGGAAATGGGTGCCCAAAGAAGAAGATGTTTGCCATTTTCTATTCCTGTGTGTGCAGGTGATGCAGTCTCTCTGCAGGGCTGATAGCAAGGCACAGACTTTTCTTTCTGGACATTTCTGCCTCTGTTCCAGTGGTCCTTGGCTGCTGGTCCATCTGATTCTGGGCTGGCTGGCACTGCTGGAGACCTTGCAGGGCCCTGCCAGTGTTTGGCCCACTTTTTTACAGTAAGGTGAAGAATCAGATTGAAGCTGGCTGATCAGATTTCCAACCAGAGAATTCAGGAGGAAAGCTTCCCTTTCATTTTCCCTTTCCATGCCACTGGAGTGGGACACAGTCCAAAGAAAAGTCACAGATAGAAGATATCTCTGTGCTTTGTTGACAAAAGCCCATGAGATGATTAGCTTTGAAAAGGATTTTGAATTGGCTTGCATTTTGTACTCTAGGATATTTTGATCTTTCTGTTGACTTGTTCAGAGCCATGGAAAACCTCTGAGGCTTCTGAGCTGCTGCCATGGATGGGAGATGGATGGATGGGGAGGTAATAGGACAGGCTGGGTCTGTGGGGACAGTGTGGGGAGCTGCTGGGGGGCTACACTGAGGTTGGGGAGATGCACTGGGGCTGAGGGTGTGACGGTGTTCACAGGGCTCCAAGGATGAGGGAAGAGACAAGGATCTGACTCCATGTTTTAGAAGGTTTGATTTATTATTTTATGATATATATTATATTAAAACTATACTAAAAGAATAGAAGAAAGGATTTCATCAGAAGGCTAGCAAGGAATAGAAAAAGAGAGAATGAATAACAAAGGCTTGTGGCTTGGACTCTCGGTCTCACAGCTGACTGTGATTGGCCATTAATTAGAAACAACCACATGAGACCAATCACAGATGCACCTGTTGCATTCCACAGCAGCAGATAATCAATGTTTACATTTTGTTCTTGAGACCTCTCAAGAGAAAAACTCCTAAAGAAAGGATTTTTCATAAAAGATGTCTGTGACATGGAGGGGCTGCACTGAGGCTGGGGGCTGGCTCAGAGCATCCATGATAAATAGCCTCCCTTCTTCTTCTGAGGGACCCCACGAGCAGATCCAGCTGCTTTGGGTAGAACATGGGATTTTTTACTAGCCAATTATTAACCAAGCTTCTTCAGAGCTGAGTTTTAGGGCTGAAACTCCATTATGAGAATATGAAGTGGGAAAGAGTTCCTTTCTGGCTCTGTGTCTGCCTGAGTGGGTTTGCATGGAATGTTTTTGTTCTTTCTAGGCCAGTTTTTGTCTCAAAGGACAGACATTTCCTAGGCTTTGTCCAGGTGTCTTCATTCAGGTATTTCCCTGCCTGCATGGCTCCAAACTGCTCCCTCAGCCACTCCTCCAGCTGACAGCCCTGCCAGCTGATGGTACAGGCATCATCTGTTTATTCTGTATTTCTGCAGTCACTAACACAATGGAGCCCTGGCTGTTGTGGTATAAATCGTTAAGAATCTTCCCTTAGGCTCTCAGTGAGTCACTAATGAGACTCAAATAGAGGCAATTAAGTCAGCTATTTTTTTTTTTATTAGTACAGTTGTGTGATTATTAATTGTTCAGAGCTTTCAGGTGTAATTATATGTAAGGCAGAGTCCCAAAAAGTCATACCTCATATGCTGAAACTTCTGTTCTGATGGCCTGAGATCTGCAAAATCTACTGTCACAAGGATTGGAGCTTACCTAGATATACCAAAGTCATATTTCCCAAAGGTGGCATGCACAGAAAATACAAACAGTTGAGTTTTTCTGTTGCTTTCTATTAATGTCTTTTTATGTGCAAAATATGCAAGGTCTTAAGTATGAATTTCTGCATGCCTCTGTGCTTTAAATGATTGGGAGTTTTACATTGTGACTGTGGAGTCTCTGTTTTCTCCTCTTTCTTTTGAAGGTGTCAAAGATGTGTTTGGATCTTTATTCTTAATTAAAGAGGGAGGAAAGAGGGGGTTATGAATCTTCAAAAGAAATGTCCACCCCTAGCTTTTCTCAGGTATTTAAGTTCCATGTCAACAAATTCAAACAAAACTGTAGTGTGCCATATAAGGGGATAATTTGTGTGTTGTTGGTTGTTTATGCAACAGTAAAGTACCTTGCACATTTTAAAATGTGCCTGTTCTACTGCCAGGAAAAGTGCCTTTTTTATATTGATAATAATGTTTTGCCTGTTATCTGCACTTCTGAGGTGCCTTGCACCACATGCTGAGGACTGGCTTAGCCCCAGTTTCATCCATCCTGACGAGAAGGAAGCTGTGAGTTCTTCCCAGGAGAGAGACACCACCACCTCCCCACAGCTTCCCATGGCACAGCCAGAGAAAAACACCTCTGCACAGGTGTTTATTGTTACACCCTGTGTATATTTCCAACAGGCTGGCAGCTGAATGTGTCACCGTTTGTTGAGTCTGTCCAGCTATCTGGATATTCAGGTTTATAGAATCCCAGTGAATGTGAAAAAGGTGGGTAGGGATGTGCTGGTTTGTTTTGTCCTCCAGTGCCAGAATTCAGGGCCACCATGGGTACCAGCCAGCAGCAAGATGGAAAGAATGAACAAATTGATCTTCATGTGATGTGCAGCTAAACTGTGGAAATCTGTGCCACAGGATGGCACATGGCTTGGAGGGGGGAGTTTGGATGAAGACCTGAAAGAGAAAACCTTTCAGCACTGGGAAATGTGCAGAAAACCCCCAGCAGCTCAGGACCCTGTGGAGATAGTCAGAGTCTGGAAAATACACAGGAGAGTTATCCCATTAACCTGTCAGTTTTGTAGATTGTTTTATACACCCAAACTGGATTATTGGCAGAGCAAAGGATGGATTAGATGCACCTTTGATCTGGCTCATTGCAGCCACCCTTTTTTCCTTGTATTCTCTCTTAGATGTTGGGCTTGTTACTTTTCCTTCATGCTGACTGGCCCCATTCTGGGATTCCATCCTGATTTAAACCTTTCTGGCCACAGCAGGGCTTTGCCAACACCCTTGAATGCACAGAGGAGGGATGAACTCTATTCCAAGGCACTGTGTGGTACAAAAATTAGAGAAGACATGTCAGTCAACAAAGTTTATTATGTTTTCAGATTGTCTCTGGTGTTGCAGCTGGTTCAACAGCTTTGTACAGTTCAGCTTCAGAGGGGCAACAACAGTCAAGATATTCGCCCAGCAGTTTGGCTCATGAGATATCTTAATTCAAAACCTTTTTCCAGCTGTACCAAGAATGTGCTTGGTAACAGGAAGATTTAGGAACTGCCTGTGGAGAAGAGATGCAAAAATCTTTTTCCTTCCCCTCACCAGTCTTAGATGCTTGACTTGAAGTTTGATAAGAAAAGACAGACACAACTTCTTTGTTGTGAGATCATTTCCTACATCTTTGGTTTTGTTCTCATGAGTTTGGATGGCAGTAGAGGTTCCTAGGTGCTAGTCACAGAGGTTCTAGTGTCAGTGCAAAGGATGGAGAACATGCTCTATCTAATTTGGCTTTTGAACCCTAATTACTTTTAATGTTGGTCTTGGCTGGTGCTAAAGAGATTTTAATTTATGGGTTTCCAAAATTTAAAGGTTTTAGTTTATGGGTTTCCAAAATTTAAAGGTTTTAGTTTATAGGTTTCCAAAATTTAAAGGTTTTAATTTATGGGTTTTCAAAATTTAAAAGTTTTAGTTTATGGGTTTCCAAAATTTAAAGGTTTTAATTTATGGGTTTTCAAAATCTTCTATTGCCCCTAGAAAGAAAGATCCTTCCCCATTACGGCAGTGCTTTGTTGTGCACGAGATGAGAAAGAATACTGCAAGCTGAGAGTTCCTTCCTTCCCTCCCAAAATGCAAAACATGAAATGGATCAGGGCAGCATCTGTCCCTGTGTGCCCAGGACACCTGGAGGTGCTGAGCCAAGGCCCTGGGGTGCAGCAGCACAGGCTGAGGTCGCTGCCTCTGTTTCCTTGCAGCACTGGGACGTGTTCCGGACCATCACAGAAGTTTTCATCCTGGTTCCTGCCCTGGTTGGCCTGAAGGGAAATCTGGAGATGACACTGGCATCCAGGCTCTCCACTGCTGTGAGTGTTAACAGGCTGGTTAATTGTGGGAGGGGGGTGATTAGCAGGGGGAATCAGGAGATTCTTCATTTATGTAATCACGCAGTGTATGAGAGATGCCCTTTTCTGCTAACTAGAAACTAGTGGGGCATGAACATTAAAATAATGTGTTTGCCCTCATTTTGTAAGTGGAACAGAGAATTTCCATCTGCATTTTGAAGGTGAATTAATCCCTGGGTGGCCACTTGCTGATATTTGGGGCCCTGTGACACATGAAGGAGACAAAGCCAGGGCTGCACAGCTGTCAGCTCCAGTGCTGGATTGCTTTGCTGTGGGTATTGATCCTTGAGGGCTTCCCAGCAGTCCTACCCTGGGGGAGCAGACTGAGGCTTCTTGGAACCTGCAGCAGCTTTTGCTGCTCTGTGTTTGATCTCTTCTATCTCCCTAAGCAGTTTTGTTTACTTTGGTCTTTTTTTTTTTATTATGCCTCAGGAGAAATTGTAGCTTATCAGAGGAATTTAGGGAGAACAAAGGACAAAAAATGGTTTAATTTTTTCAGCTTTTTGTCTATCCACTTCACTTTTAGCTGGGTGCCCTGCAACACCTCTGCACCTCCAGTGTGTGAGCCTCTGATGGCCCTGGGACACTGGGCTGGTGGAAAAGTGTCAAGAAAGAGGTGCAGGGAAGGCTGGGAGATGTTGGCCTGCATTTGCCTCTCTCTGACAGCCCCTTTCCCCCAGGGAGCAGGTGAAACTGCCTTCAGCAGCCACCTGTACCACAGGAACAGCTTTTCAGGGTATCTCTCTTGACTCCTAGGCTAACACTGGACAGATGGATGATGCCCAGAAGCAATGGAAAATGGCCACCTGCAATTTAGCCCTTATCCAGGTGAGTCACTTCAGCTGGGAGATGCAGCAGTCTCTTTTCTCTTGCTCTGTTGCAGACCAGCAGCATCTGTTCCAGCAGTGCTGAATGGAGAGCTGGTGATTTGGGTCAGGAATCCTCAGCACAGCCAAGCAGAGCCAGGACTTGACCTCCAGTAAAGCTCTGTGTGGCCCAGAGCTTGTAGTTTAGCTGTAAAACACATCTGGACATTCAGTACCTTTGTGGACAAACTGAACTAATAAAACTCCTTTTGCACAGGAGCTGTGGCACAGTCCCTGTTTCACAGCAGCCCCTGGATAAAGCCTGTCATTCACTGGCACTGTTTGGGAATCAGCCTTGGGCAGGAGGGGAGAGATGGAGAAATTCCCTCCTGCAAAGGCCATTCTTCTGCTTGTTAAAATCCAGGAGCCAGCCTGGAGTTTGCACATGGCAAGAGCTCAGGGCTGGCAGCCTGTGCCTGTGTGCTTTCCCTTATCTCCCTGCACAGCTCCAGGCCTCCCAGGAGTGCAGAGCTGATGGGGAGCCCATTTTTGTCTTGACCAGGGCTATTCCTTTGCTGCTGGACTCTGTGTCCTTTGCTGAAGTGTTATCTGCCCTTTGCAGACCCCCAGAGATTTTCTGCAAACTTTGTCGGGATTTCTATTTTTGATCTAGTGGAGCCTTGCAGGGATGCTGTTTAAATACCCAAACAATCCTCATCAGTGCCAGGCTTTGCCCTGCAGGCTGTGGCAGAGCTGCAGTGGTGGGGCCAGGGCTGCCAGGAGCAGATGGGGGTGAGTGCTCACCAGCTGTCCTTTGCTCCCCAGGTCCAGGCCACTGTGGTGGGGCTGCTGGCTGCTGTGGCCGCTGTGATCCTGGGAGCCATCTCCAAGGGCTCTGTGGAGCTGAGCCAGGCTGCTGTGCTGTGTGCCAGCAGTGTCACCACGGCCTTCATAGCTGCACTGTCCCTTGGTGAGTGCTTCTGCCTCCTCAGATCCACTGTGCAGCACCCAGGTGGGGAATGAGCTGCCCTGTTCCTCCAGGGAGGCCCAGCTGGCATCCCTCTGGTGTGGCAGAGGGAGGAGGGCTGCAGGGAGCTGTGGCTGCTGCCTTCATCCTCTCTGCACGCTGCCTGTGCTTCTCTTCCCCCATGGTCTGCAGCAATCAAAGTGTGCTTCACCTGGCACAGGAAAAGTGCCCCAAGCTGTGCATGGCTGCACAAACACCCCCACTCTGTGTCTCTGGGGTGTCACACGAGCCATCCACACTGTCCCTTTCCCAGTGAAGGTGAAATGGTGTCACCCAGGGATTGAGGGTCTGGTAGCTGACAAATCCAGACCCGAGATGGGTCACCCCACACCTGTGGGCAGCCCTGCAGTTTGCCTGCTGTGAGCTGGGAACCAGGCACTTCTGTCCTCTGGCTCTTCCCATTCCAGGGCAGTGTGATGGGCTGAGCTGTTCAGAGTGGTTTGAAGCTCTCCAGTTTGTGGGTCTGCCATACGAGGGCAGCATGGTACCCTGAATAGAGCAGCTGGCACAAAGGATGCTGCAAGTTCTCTAAATGAAAGGGACAAGTTAGAACAACTGCATATCCTAAAGGTGGAGTCACAGAGTGATTGGAGATGCCTTTGGTGGAAAACGTGGGATGAGGCAGTTGTTAAAAACCAGCAGCTCAGCTTTCATTGCTCTCCCCTACAATCTCCCTGCTTGGTGGGGCACAGAGAGGCTTTGCTGCTGGGCTGTCTCAGGTTTGACATCAGATTTTTCCCTGGACCTGTCACAGGCAGCCTGTGTGTGGCTGAAGCTGCTGCTTTTATGGCCAGGGAGGGGAGCAGCATGAGCTGTGCTGAGGGGAGGGAGTGTGGGTGTCTGGGAGGGCTGCTGTGGAAATGTCATGTGTGCGGATGTGTTTTTGTCTAAGGGATGTTGTACCAGGGAAGATGAACATTTCTTGGGGTAGAACTGATGCTCCTGTGCATGCTCAGCTTTGGAGGGGCTGTGTAGGCACAGAGAGGCTGTGAGCTGGAGGGAATCACCATTTCTTGGGCTGGAGGGAATCACCATTTCTTGGGCTTCCTTTGGTGTAGCCTGTCAGCCACAGAAGGACTTTGAAAGGAGTCTAATCCCTTGTCTCAAGGCTGCCTTTGCTAGGTGCTTCTTCCACATCGCTGTGAAAGATCCGATAGCTGAGGTGTAGCCATGATATTTTCTGAAAAATCCTTTCCTTAGGATCTTTCCTCCTGAGAAGCTGAGAGGCCTCAGGAACAAAATGTAAACAATGGTTATCTGCTGCTGTGGAATGCACCAGGTGGATCTGTGATTGGTCTCATAGAGTTGTTTCTAATTAATGGCCAATCACAGTCAGCTGGCTCGGACTCTGTCCGAGACACAAGCCTTTGTTATTCATTCTTTTTTTTTTTCTATTCTTAGCTTATCTAGCCTTCTGATGAAATCCTTTCTTCTATTCTTTTAGTATAGTTTTAATATAATATATATAATAAAATAATAAATCAAGCCTTCTGAAACATGGAGTCAGATCCTCATCTCTTCCCTCATCCTCAGACCCCTGTGAACATGGTCACACTGAGGGATTCCCACATGTTCACCAGGGTTTGGGGTTTGTGCTCCTAAACTTGGGCAAGTAAAACCTCTCTTCTCCCCAGCAATGCTGAAAAGCAGCTCAATATTCCAGCTGCACCTCAGAGGACAAGGGAAGAGATGTGGGCCACCACCATAACCCTTTTGACTCTGGAGCTGCTCACAGCATCAGAATCCACCCAGAGCAAATGAAAGCAGCCCCAAAGGCTCTGGGACATGAGGGCTCAGTCTGATGGCTGGGCTGAAATGCAGGCCACTGTAAGGCAGCTCATTGCTCCTTGGTGGTTCAAACTTTGAGAAATTTCAGTCTAATATGGAAAATATCTTTGTGCTGTGGAATCCAGAGGAGGGGATGGCACCAAGAGGCTGCTGCATGCCTGCTGTGTGCTTATCTATGAGTGTGCTTCGTGCCTGCTCCTGCTTCAAGGCAGCAAAGATTAGGCTGCTCAGGAGGGGAGCTTCTACATTTGGGCTGCCTGCTGGTGTCTGCTTTGATCCCTGGAATTTGCTTGTGTGCCTCTGGGCCCTTGGTGCAGTTTATAAGGACAGAGTCATGCACTTCAGGTTGGTGAAAACAAAAGGACAAATTCCTGGGGGTGCCTAGTCTCCAGCTGCATGGTGCTGTTGGGGGTATCCTGCTTCTTGCTTCTTTTAGACCCCCACATGCTGACCCAGAGCAGCAGCTCTGGGGTAAAACACAGCCAAATGCTCTCTCTGATGCCTGCTCTGTGTCTTCTCTAGGTCTGGTGATGATTGGTGTGATCATTGGAGCCAGGAAAGTTGGGATCAACCCAGACAATGTCGCCACACCCATAGCAGCGAGCCTGGGAGATTTGATAACCCTTTCCCTCCTGGCAGGAATCAGCAGCACACTCTTCAAATACATAGGTACAGTGTTCAGCAGGGAGCTGCAGCTCAGCAAGGGAGCTCACAAATCCTTCTGAAATTACTGCAGGCTGCCTCAGCATTTCTGGCATGATTCAGAATGGAGGCTGTCATGCCACTGGGGTAGAAAAACGACCAAAGAGGCTTTTTCCAGACTGTCTTTTAGTAACAAACTGGAAGGCAGAGCCTAGTAAACACAAGTGGGATTTGTCAAAGAAATGACCAACATGTATTGTGCAGCTTTGGAACAGGAGGCTGGCATATGTGACACTGACTCTGTTCCTCCATCTGTCACTAGCCAGCAAAACTCCTTCCTGTGCATGGATGGGTAACAGCAGCTCCTTCTTCACAAGCAATTCCAGGGGTTTGGCACTAGCAAAATATTCTTGTATCCTCTCACATGGAGAGCCATGGATGAACAAGATATTCAGCTGGAGGGAGGTAGCCTGCAGTGTTTTGTGCCTGCAGGACTCTGAGTAGGAGCTGTGGTCTGGGGTTGGCTGTGCTGCTGGTTGCCAAAGGCTTGGGCACCTGGTGACCCTCAGAAGTTCAAAACATTGGTGATATATCTGTTGCTTTTAAAGTGTTGGGCTATTTACTGTGAGCCTAAGCTTGAACAGAAATGGGAAAATAAAAAGATGCAGCAAACTCAATTCCACTTGAAACCCAAACTGTTGCTCCAGACTGAGCAGAAGCATGAGGCAGCTGTTCTCAGTTTGCATAACTCATTCCATGTGCAAGCACAAGTGAGGGAGTGAAGGAGCCCACACTGCAGGGAGAGGCCTATGAATTGCTTCCATCCTGTCCTCCTTGAGCTTCAGAGGTGCTTTTTTTTAATAGGATTTTTCCATGATGCCATTGCACCTGCCTCTGTAAAGGTAATCCATCTTTCAGTTGCTGAGCCTCAGATAATATCTCCCAGGGAGCACAGGGCAAAACAACATGATAACCTCTGTGGCTGTGACCAGAGAGCATTTCTGGGCTTGCCAGAGTAGTTTAAAGAGCCTCTTGAGACGGAAAATAGTCAGCACACAGACACCAAGTCATTGGGAGCATGAAGTGAAGCAGGTAGAACGATGGCACTGCTGATGGTGCTTGAACAAATCCATTTCCCTGCCCAGTGTGTAATAAGGTGCAGGTCACACTCTAGAAACTTCTGGGTCCTACCAAAATGTGTATGTATCCATCAAAAATACTGATGAGCCTGTGAAGTTTGAAGTACTGTGTGCCATCTGATGCAGAACCTTCTCCTTCTGCAGAATATCCTCTTGCCAGAGAAGATTCTCTATTTTTTTTTTTTTAATTGGCTCTGGTTCTTCTCAGTCCTGCATAAAGGAGATACAAACTGTGCCAAAGGGTTTCAGCTTGGTATGGGCTGCCTGTGAGAGAATGTAGCAGAACTGGAATGTGGAGCCTGAAGAGCATTCATCCCACCAGGAGCCTTTCTGTGGGCTCTGATAAGGTTTGATCAACTCCAGTGCTGTGCCTGCATTATTTAAGAAAGAATTAATTGCTCAAAACAACACATGGTGTGGGTAAGAGACCCAGTTCAGCAGCTGAGTCTGTCGTACATCCCACCTGTCCTGGATGACTCCAGAGGGTGAAGTGCACTGACAAAACTCAGTGGAGATGCATTTCAGTGCCATTGAAGCCTCTCATGAGGAGCTGCACCTCTTTGTGTGAGAGCCTTTCACTCCCAGCAGATGCCATCACGTCAGTGCTGTCTCACCCAGGTAGCCCAAGGCCCTGGCAGTGGTGGTGTTAAAAATGCACACTTGGAGCTGCTTCATCTCCCAGATTACCTGCAAAGCCAGCATTACATCCCACTGCCTTTGGCCCCAGCTCAGAGACCAGATGGAGAGCTTTGTTGAAGAAGCATTTTTGTATCAAAAGGGCTGGCATCAGCCCCATTGCTCGAAGGTGTTTCTCATGCTTCTGAGTCATGTTTATTTTCTTTTAGTGCTGCACATCTTATTTTTTAATTTCTTTGTTTCTAAAGATCCAAGGCTATGCCTCTGCTGAATGGAAAAAGCACCTAATGGAAACACATGCAAGCTAGCGCAAAAGAAAACCCCAGATCTGAACTGGCTGATACGTGCCAGAGAACATTTGTTCCTATAGAGCAGACCAGCTGCTCAGCAATTCTGCTAGCTCCCCTCCTAAAGTGCCTCTTACCTCTTGTTTTAGGTGAAGGTATAAGGTGTCTGCCCTGAGTGGGGTACAGCTTCCACACAGGAGTTTCCCCCTTGGCCTGCTGTTTGATTTGCACCCTGAAGCCAGAAATTTTGTAACTTTTTATCTTTCTTAGTTGGAGGTGAAATTGGAGAGTTGTTCGTCTTCAAATATAACTTGCTTTGAATCCTGCTGATTTTCAAACAGCATCCTCTAGCAGTGAATTTCAGGGATTAATTATGAATTTCTGTGGTGGAATGAGGTGGTTTTGTGAGGACTATCATGCTTCATGTGATTTTTTCCTCTAACATAACTCAGTTAGAGCAAGCATCCTGCTGCATTTCTTCCCATCTTTGTGCATTACGATTTTGGCAACCAGTGAAGCTACGGTTTAATTTAATTCAACATTTCTTTTCCCTGCCAGATGTGAAGTACCTCTCTCCTCTGATCTGTGCTGTGTTCATTGTCATGATCCCTCTCTGGGTTGCCATTGCCAAGCAAAGTCCATCCCTGGCTGAAGTGCTGAAGTCCGGCTGGCAGCCGGTCATTGTGGCCATGAGCATCAGCAGGTAAGGGAGGCACAGCTGCCACCCTGTGAGCACCCTGCACACACCTGGGCTCACTCAGAGGGACACCAAGGGGACGCTGCCAGGGACAGCAGCAGGGGGTTTGCCCTGAGCTTCTCAGACATTGGTGGCTCTCCAACAGACTCTCTTCTGAGTCTGTACAGTTTGTAGTACTGTGTGCCACCTGCAGCACCTTCTTCTGCAGCAGAATATCTTCTTTGTGGGTGTACCACTTGCCAGTTTTTCTGGGTCTGGATTGAAGGCACTTGAGACAGTAATTTGTGTTGGGATTCAGGTGTTTATTATTTGCTATCAGTAAAACAGTCTCACTACTGTGAGTTCAGCAGCAAGGTACAAAATGGACAACAATCTTTTGTTACAAGATCTTTGAAGACTAAACTATCCAATTAAGAACTGACACCTGAATTATTTTCCCTTTTAACCCAATAATTGATCTCAAAGAGCCCCCAATATGGACTTTTCTGCCCAATTACAAAATGCCACCCAAACCCATGAAGAAGGAGGATGAAGAAGAAACCCAGGACGACACCCTGTGCCCTCCATCTTTCTTCCATCCACAACATACTAAAAATCCCAAAACCTAAATTTCTCACCAAGTGATAGACCTACACTGGTCTCTGTAATCTATTCCACACTTTTGTGGATTCCAGTCTATCTTGAAGTCTAGGCAACTTTCTCCATGAATGAGAGTCAAAGTCAGTGCTCCCCAGAGCAGATAGAGAAATATTCCCAGTGCTCTGGGTTTCCACACCTGTTGGCAGAGAAGATTCTCTTTTTTTTTTTTTTTTATTTTTTAAATTGCCTCTGGTCCTTCTCAGTCCTGCATAAAGGAGATACAAACTGTGCCAAAGGGTTTCAGTCTGTCTCTCTTATTTGTGAGACAACTGATAAGGAGCCCCCAAAGGACTGGGAAAAGCAAATCATTCTGAGTCTCACTCACACATCCAGGCACCACATGGGTGAAAGCCAGCAAACTGAAAGCACAGATGATGATCATCACAAATTGACAGGCTTTGATCATCACAGATTGTCAGGCTTCAACCTCATTCTTATCCAGCTGTAAAGAGAAAATACTGGTAGATGTAGAGCCAGGTAGTTCCTTCTTCCTGTGGTACAGGCTGAGATCTGGAAGAGAATTTTAAAAAACTGCTAAGTCCAGTAGAGAAGTGTAACAGAAATTTGTGGGAGGATGATAATGCTTTTCTACCAGTTTTGCTTGGTGGTGGGCAAGGAGATCCTTCTGAATCATTATGCTATTAATAAAATTTGTAATGTTTTCTGTTGGTGGAAGCTGAGCTGTAAAGGAGTGCATGGTGAGCAGTCCAATCTGGCAGTGGGGAAGATGCAGTAACCCATGGCAGGGTGCTGTTTTCAGTGTAGGAATTGCCCTGGAAAAAGACTGCTCCAACCTCATTTGCTGTCCTTTTCTTAACAGCATTGGTGGGCTCATCCTGGACAAAACTGTGACTGACCCAAACTTTGAAGGCATGGCAGTTTTCACACCTGTGATTAATGGTAGGTTGGGCATGGGGGTTCTATGCATGCTTTTATTTATACCTCCCCTTCCTCCCAAGGCTTCTGGCATCCCCCATTGCCCCTACACAGAGATCAGTGTTCAATTCCCTGATCCCATCATGAGTGGAGGTGAAGCTATTGGTCCCCATCATGAGTGGAGGTGAAGCTACTGGTCCCCATCATGTTCCTGTTTATGTTTTGAAATGTCTCTGGAGCAAAACAGCAGCGAGGACAGAGCTGTGCAAAAAGGTTAACAGCATCTCTGAGAGCTACATTGACACTTTTCATAAAATCAAACCTACTGGGATGTCACAATAAATCCATTTTCCCTTGTTTCCTTCTCTCCACTCAGTGATTTCTGCAGTGCAATCATCTCCTATACAGAATGTTGACAACTAGTAATATAAGAAGATTATACATGTGTATGAATCTGAGAGATTATATATATATATATATATATATATATATATATATATATATATAAACATTTTGTGTGCATATTAATTCATATTTATATTTGTAATTTTTGTATGCATGAGATAAATATATATCTTTATATATATGTAAAGATTATATGCATGGATTGGATATAATTGGACTTTTATGTATATATCTCAATGTATTTTGTGTGTATATTTATACTTATATTTATATTTACATTACTTATATTATTTATAATTATATGTGCATGAGATAAATATATATCTTTATATATACATAAAGATTACATGCATGAATTGGATATAATTGGATTTTTAATATATATATCTCAACATATTTTGTGTGCATTTATATTAATATTTATTTATATTTTATATTCACAGTACTTTTATGCACACACCTATCAGCACAAACTGCTGGGCATCCTGGTATCACTGAAGATCCACTAGCTTAATTCTCTGCTATTATAACATTCTTGTAGGACAGGCCCATTCCAAGGGAAACCCAGGCTCCTAGGGCCTCGTGCCACCCTCAAAGCTCTTCACTCTGCCTGTGCAAAGCCTGGCAGTGTATGGCACAGACAGGTCCATCTTCAGCTACAATGGGACAGCCTGAATATTTTCACTTTGATTTCCATCTGGGAAATCTCACATTTAATGATGATTTCCTCTCCAAGAAAGGGAAGGCATGAGAAGCCTGTAGCGTCTGGCTCACCCTTATCTTTTCTGTGGCATTTCCACCCTGAAAATACTTAGGGTGGTGGAAGTTTGTTCCATAGATCATTATCCCTCTATAGCTGCTTTTTCATGTTTGCTGCAATTAATCAGTCTGGAATGAATTAATTTACTTTAATTAGCTACCATTTTTGGGTTCTAATTCATTCTCATGATTCCTTCTCATTGAACAAGTGTGTTAGGTACCTTCAGACAGACATGTAATCACTCTCTGTGGTATTTTGTTGTCTTTCAAACAATAATATTTCTCTGAGTGAGTAAATCCAAGAAGTGGCCATGAGCATCCTCTGCCCTGCTTTCCCCAGGTGTTGCTCACAGACTCTGTCCAACCAGGTGCAATTACATCATTTCAGAGACCACATCCAGTGCTGGGGAGAAAGGGAAAATGTTTTCAGCCAGCAGTCAGAAGAACACAATTCCTGGAGCCTTCCTGGTTTTCAGGAGCTGTTCCTGCAAAGTGAATAGTGCAGCACCCCTAGGGATGCAGGAGTCAGGTTTGCTCTTTCCCTCACTGCTGCTCTCAGTGAATGCAGATTGACTCACCCTAGGCTGGGTTTTGCACTGCTGTTTCCTGCTGTGGTGAAGGTGGTTTACAGGTTTTCTGTGTTTTTGTCCTCACAGGTGTTGGAGGGAATCTGGTTGCCATCCAAGCCAGCCGAATTTCTACATTCCTGCACTTCTGGAGCATGCCTGGAGTTTTGCCATACAAGATGAGGCAGAACTGGCCCAACCCATGCACCACATTCTTCTCATCAGGTACGCCCTGAGCCCTTGGTGTCCATGTCTGTCTGTCCTCACAGGCAGCTCCTTTCCCAAGCCTGGCTGGTGAAGCACTGGCTGGGTTTCAAAGGCAGAATTTTCCCCTCTCTCAGAGAATACTCAGATCAGAGAGGAAGCATCGTTGCAGTGGGCAGCATGAAAAAAAAAGACTTAAGGCATATTTGCTCAGTGGCATGCAAAGAAAGTGGCCTTCAGGGAGCACTAAGGAAAGTAATTGAAAAGGAATCTTAGATTTGATCTAACAGAAAGTCATTTTAATGGCCAGCCTACAGCCATCACCTGTGGACAGAGCAGTGAATAGAGCATAATCTTGCTGAATATCAGCAATTCCTCCACCTTCAGCCCTGGAAATACTTAAGAATCAGCAAAACTCAATTTTGGGTCTGTTGTCTTTATAGAGTTCCTCTTGATTTTCCCTGTTAGGTTGAGAGTTAGTGCTAGATCAAACTATAAACTGGGAAAATCTGTTGCAGTGAGGCAGAGCAGAAGTTGTGGGAGGCAGAGAGCAGCTGAGAGGAGTGTTTGCAACAATCACAGAGCAGGGTTTGCAAGAATCACAGAGGAGGGTTTGCAAGAATCACAGAGCAGGGTTTGCAAGAATCACAGTGGATCAGCACGGAGCACAAAGCCTTTGGCATGCAGTTCCAGTGCTAGACAAAGCTGCTGGGCTGATCCTGCAGATGCTGCCTGTGTTTGTGTGATCTAGAGAAGGCATTAGCAATGGGGTTGGTGGGAGGGTTTATGCATTAAAATATTCACTGTGTCCTGTCCTCCCAGCTGCTGTTACCCCTGTTTCTGTCTCCGTCTCTCTCTCTGCAGGAGTGAATTCCAAGTCAGCCCGGGTGCTGTTCCTGCTGGTCATCCCAGGGCACCTGGTGTTCCTCTACACCATCCACCTGCTGCAGGGGGGCCACACATCCCTGTCCTTCACCTTTGTGATGTTCTACCTGGCTGCTGCTCTGCTGCAGGTAAGCCCCAAACTCTCACCCAAAAGGAATCTATCAGATAGCATAAAACCAGCATTCTCCAGGTTAAAAAGGAGTCACAGTAAAACATCCAGCAGCAGGCTCTGCTTCCTGTCATTTCAGGTGTACTTCTGCCAAGAATCTTGGACATTCTGTAGCTCCAGTAATACTGCACCCAAATTGCCAGGCTCTAGTTTCCCACATGCGCACAGCTGTGGTTTAGGGTGAGAGGAGGAAAAACTTCTCAACATCCATTTGAGCTGCAATAAGTGCAGAGACACACTTAGCAAGAAGTACCTTGCTTTGAAATGTTCACTCCTTGGGTGTGAACTCCAAATAATTCCAGGCCGCCACTACTCACCCCAGCAAAGTGAGAAGAGTGGACTGCAGACAGCAGGTTTCCCCACCCATTTTGGAAACCACTGTCACATTTTATGGTGAAATCCTAGGGAATCCCTCTGGGCAGGACCATGTGGGCAAAAACAAAGGGAAAGCCCAGGCCCTGAGCAGTTCATCTTCAGAAGTAAAAACTCCTGGTAGGCAATGAGCAGATCATCTGATTTGTTCTGCTTTTTCTGCCCTGTAAACTTTATTTTTCTCACTCAGAAATGCATGTGGCTGTTGCCTGAACTCACAGAGGCTCTGACTTCACTTGCCCTTTTAAATGAGTGATTCATTGATTTGCATTATGAGGTGGCTGACTCTCACTTTGCCTTACGAGCAGCCTTGTGTCTAAGGGTGAATTCCTTGTGTGTGTAAACAATCAGTTTTCCTCGACCTTTGCACAGCCCTAAGCCCAGAAGCACAGCCACAGTTTAAAGGAAAATATTTATTCTTCTCTTTATGCATTGAGGTAACTCCTCAACCAAAGCCAGGCATGAAAATGCAAGAATAAATGACAGCACAAAGAGCAGCATCCCAGCAACACCACTGACCCCAAAAGATTCCCATGGAGGCCACTGGAGGAGGGGACACTCAGCCTGGCCCTTTTTCCACCTCTGTTATCCTTTATAAAGAAAGACAGAAAAAAAAAGGGTTGGGGGTAAAGTTTGGGATTAACTCGTCCAAAGTAGAGAGACTTGGGAAAAGTCTGGTTAACAGCCTTTAAACTGCCAAATTTCTGTAGGAAGGGACAGAATAACATTTGCCATGTGGTCATTAGGGGAGGAAACATGAAATCATGGATTTCAAATGGAAAAAGGCAGATTTATGTTAGGCCTTGGGAAAAACAAAAATGGGGGGAAAAAGCTGTGGGATTGATTGCTTGGAGTGTGGCATCTCCATCTGTGAGGGTTGTTTAGTACAAGTTAAACAAATTTTCCATCAGGAAAGATGTGGATGTATTTGATCCTGAATTGAGGAAGACAAATGATCTATGTAAAACTGTATAGTTTCCAGCCAGCTTTAGTTTCTGTGATTCTGTTATTTAATTTACTTCCCCCATCTCTCCTCCTCCCTTTCTCCCAACCCAGCTTGCAGTTTTCACCTTTAGAAATGCTGCCTCAGGCTTTGGTTCCTGATGTGCTGTGGTCTCCCATGGAGGGACCACAGATGTGGGGTGCAAATTCTCTCTCCCTTCTTAATTCAATTAACTAGACAGTCTTTAATCTTTAACCAAAATATTTTTTTTCTGCCATCTGTTTATCAGAATTGGGAATGAAATAAGAATTAAAAGAAATCACAACAAAGATTTTTAAACTGTCGAGATGAAAAAAAAAGATTTTTTTTTTATCATGTCAGTTCTGCTTGGGATGGCTTTGATGTAAAAACTGCCTCAAACTCCAGTTGTCCACTGAGACTTTTAGGAAAAACAAAGTAGACATGATCTGAATTTCTAATGGAAAAAAGAAGGATGAAGAGAAAAAAGCCTGGCTATGAACTTGTCCTTTGGGACTGCCTGCATATTCACAGAAACCTTCATCTGGTGGAATGAGTGGAGCACTCCCACTCAAGGCACAGGGATAGGAATTGTACCTTTGGGAGATGCTTTTGGTGTGGCCAGGCTCTGGTTTGGGCAGGCAGTGCTGGTGAGCAGTTCAGGCAGGGTCTTTGCACTTGGGGCTGGCAGCAGAAGGCTGTGGGTTATGTGATAGGGTAGGAGCCAGCTACACCCATGCCATCCCATGCCATCCCATCCCATGCCATGCCATCCCATCCCATCCCATCCCATCCCATCCCATCCCATCCCATCCCATCCCATCCATCCCAGAGAGGAACCCCAGCTCTCTGGGAAGGTGAGCATGCTCAGTGACCCCGTTAGCTCTGGTTCCCATCCCATCCCAGAGAGGAACCCCAGCTCTCTGGGAAGCTGTGCATGCTCAGCGACCCCCGTTAGCTCTGGTTCCCATCCCATCCCAGAGAGGAACCCCAGCTCTCTGGGAAGCTGTGCATGCTCAGTGACCCCCGTTAGCTCTGGTTCCCTGGCCATGGCAGCTCCCTTTGGCTCTGGGCCCAGGGTTTGTCTGTTTCCTTATCTCTGTTTCCCCTCCCAGGTGGGGATCCTGCTCTACGTGGCCGACCTGCTCGTGCGCCTGATGTGGAGGAAGGCTCTGGACCCAGACAATTTCTCCATCCCCTACCTCACCGCCCTGGGGGACCTGCTGGGCACTGGGTTCCTGGCCATCTGCTTCCGCCTGGTGTGGCTCATCCATGGCACAGACATGAACCTGGGCAACTGAGAGTGACTGTGCTGCTCTCGTCCCTGCTGTGACACGGTGCTCCCCTCCAGTGGGTGCCTGGCACTCTGTGCTGGCTCACCTGGCTGGGCTGGGCCCCCCCTGCCACCCTGCCACCCCCTGCCCTCCCCACCGTGCCTTACAGCCAGCCCCAGCAATCAGCACCCACAAACTCCTGCCCTCGGAGGGGAGCAAAGCGGATTGAAGGAGCACCCCCTGCTCACACCTGCAAACAGGGCAACAAGGAGCAGTTGGGCCACTGGGGAGGAAGGAAAAGAGGAAGGCAGGAAGGAGCATTTGGGCCGTGGTGTCAATCCCCAGCACTGAGACAGCCTGAGGCTGCTCCAGAGCCTGCCCAGGTCACTGTGTCTGATCCTGCCAGGGGATGCTGCAGCCCCTCCATCCTCTGACTTTCCACCAAGGGAAATTCTTTATTCACCTCACTTTTCTCCAGCCCCTGGAGTAGCAGAACAACCAGGTCAGAGCTCAGGATCTGAGGCAGTGAGCTGCTGGCTCATGCCCATTGGAGGTTATCTAGGGATACCACCTACCTGCCCTGCCAGCATCCCTGGTGTCTGACCAAAAAGCTGGTTAGATTGCATTTTAGGGGCAGGAAGGTTTGTTTTTACGGTTTATGAAATGTCCAGTAGTTCAAATGTTTATAGAAACACACACATAAATAAAGTGGGTAAAAAAAAAAAGAGTAATGCTGTGGATTTGCCAGTTGATTTTTCTTGCCACTACTCTGCCTGGTTTTAGTTCTTACTTGTCAGGTAGAACTTCTTGGGTTTTTTTCTCATCCATTCAGGCTTGGACAACACAATTTTAATAGGGTTTCAGGAAAATCAGTGTTTCCTAACAAAGAATGTTTTGACACCCATATGTTTCAGGTCAGAATTAAAGCCTCTCCCACAGTCACCATCCACTCATTAACAACTGCTCTGGAATGAGTCCAGGACTGCCTGTGTTGGTCTGGGTGATGATCAGGCACAAGGCTGTGGCCAGTGACTCCTTGGGTCCTTGCTCCAGGGTGGCAATCTGAGAGAGGCTGCCATCAGAGAGGCTTTTGGGGCTGGAAGCAGCCAATTCTCACTGAAACTGAAGAAGCACTCGAGTCCTCCAGATAATAAGATGCTGAAGAGTCAGGAGCTGAGGAGATGGATCAAACCTTTGAAAAAACGTCACTGGGCCTCACCTTTATTAGTTATCTGCCTTCTTGTTGGAGAAGGGAAAAGGGGAGGTCAAGTCCCCCATGATATACAAGGACCTGGCCAGCTCTAAAACACTTGAACCTCAGCTGTGTTGAGTGCCTGCTGGCCTTGGGTGTTTGATTGCTCCCAGCTCTGCCCCGGTGTCACTGCAGAGCTGAGGCCCCTGCATGGCTTCCACACATGGCTGAGGGTCCCTAACAGTGAAAGCTGAGCAGCTCTGGGCTGCCAGGCATGGGGAAAACACTCCCTGGAAAAAAAAAAAGGCTCTTTTTTGGGGAGGGAGGAAAGCCTCCCCTTTCCCCAAGTTTCCTCTTCTTTTTTTTTTGCCATGAAGGACAAATTGCCTGGTGCTGCTGAGCTGGAGAGGCTGTGCACAGCAGGGAGGGTTCAGCACACACTGCCCTGCCTTGGGTGTCACTGCCTTATCCCTGCTGCAGTCTGTGGGGAAAGCAAAGCAGCTGACTGCCTCTCCCACTTTGAGGGGCACCTTAGAGGATGTGTATGTAGATATTTTAATAACTTCAGCTTAGTGCTTTACTTTGTAAAGCTTTAATAGCTCAAATTTGGCACTGGCTTGAGCAGTCCTGGCAAGTAACTCCTGTCCCAACACCATTTTCCTCCTCCTTGCTGCATTGTCCCCACCAGCTCAGAGAGGTCCTCTCTGGTGCTTGTGCTGGTCTTGTGAATCAGGTATGGCTGGTGCTAAAGCCAAGCTGCTGGGGACACCGCAGCCCTCTAGGATCCTGAACATGTGAAACTCCTTCTGCTTTTCTCTTATTAACACAGGTTTGGCCCTGCTTCCTCCAATCCATAAAACACCTAGACTGGAGCCAGTGGCTGGTGCAAGGGACTCCAGGATCAAACCCCAGCGCCCAATGCACAGCTGCTTCTCTGCTGTGTGCTTGCAGCAAAGCCCTGGCACTGGCACGTCCCTTCACTGGGGGATTTCTGGGCAGAGCTCAGCTTAATCTGGTTGTCACTGTTGACAGAGGCTGGGATGGGAACACGTAATGGATGCCATCTGTGTCCTACTTGTGGCACTCAGCCGTGCCAAGGTGACCCACGCTGCACCATGTGCTGGGATTGGGGTTCCCCCCTGCAGGAGGCTCTGGGGCTCAGGGGTGCTGCGGGGCAATGACAGAGGGCACAGCAAGATGTGCTGCTCTCCAGGGCACCCCTTGGTGGGCAGCCAAGCTTCAGTGTTGTGCCTCTGAGCTTAGTGCAGGGAAAGGCACTTAAGATTTAAAATTGCTTCCAGCCTCAAGAGAAATGATATAACCAAAGGAAATGGTTTCAATAAAAAGGGATTTTTCTCCTTTTTTTTTTTTTTTTTTTAATAAGGGCAGTGAGAGGCTAGTTATTTGGCTGCTCAGCCTGTTTACTCTTCCCTCTTTTTTTCTTGTCTGTGCAAATGAGAAAGGGTCTTTGCTAACAGAGCTGATATGTAACCCCAGAGCTTGGATCAGCATTCTTGTGACTCTGTCTGAACTTGCTCCTCTAAGAAAGCACCCCCAGCCCCTCCAGTGAGTGGGCAGCACTGCTCTGTCCCCTGGCACCAGTTGCCAGAAGCCCCTGAGTTCTCCAGGCATCCTCTCCCTTCCCTTAAAATCAGAAATTTGATGCTTAAATACCTGCAGACTCCTCAGCTTCTAAGAATTTTCAGTACCTCACAGCAGGCCCTACTTGGCTTTATACTTGCTGTGTTGTTGTGTTGGAGCAATTTGGCCAGGGAGGAGTTTTGGGGATGTGGTTGTCTGACTCCCTTTTCCTCCACAAATTTCAATTTCAGAGCAGACTTGTGAGGGTAGCAGAGCCCAGACAGGGTGGGGACATTTCATAGGGATTTCTGTCTAACCCAGCAGGGAAATCACTGCCAGCAGTGGGCCTGGCTTTGCTGCTGTGTCTGTCATTACTGAGCCCAGCTTGTCACTGGGCTGGACCCACCCTGCCACAGACACCAGCACCCCAGTTTCAGCCAACAGTGACTTTTATTTGTATTTAGTCCTCACAGCTCCCAAACAAGCAATAGCATTAAAAAAGGAGGAGGTGGAAGAAGAGAGTTTCTTTCTTGCTACTCTTTAGTCCTTGACTGCTGAGCTGCCCCTTTGGGCTCAGTGCAGGTCCTGGACTGAGACACCCACCCAGTGCTGTGAGATGCTTGTGGAAGGCTTACCTTGCTATAAGCTTTAGAGGGAATAAAGGAAAATGTGGAGTGTTGGCAGAGAATGAGATTGGCTGATTTTGAACCCTGTGCAGGCAGCTGATCTAGACTCTAGTAGTGGGCAGTGAAACAATACATATATTTTTTTTAGTGTCCCAGGTTTTATTTCCCACTGTATTAGCAGTGCAGGCAGGCTCACTCCTGACCACCAGCTGTGCCCCAATTAAATCTCAGGTTCCTGTCAGTGTTGTGGGATGAGGCTGAGGAAGAGCACTGGAGTTTGGGAGGGATTGGGTGCCTGCCCTGGAGCACCACAGGTGTTGGGGTGGCTGCTGGGACCCTGGGGAGATCCCAGATGAACACCTTGGGGAGGAAGGTCAGTCAGGGGTTCCCCCACTCCTGGGTGCATTCCTGGTTTTTCTTTGCAGGCAAAGGAGGGGCTGTCACCATCTCAGATGGGAACAGGGGTTTGTTTTCAGGGATAGTCAAATCATTTATTTTTCTCCCCCCACTGCTTCCACTGACTGCCTCCATCCTAACACAGTAATTTTCCAGAAACTCTCTGTGAGATGGAGCTTCCTTAGCAGGGACAAGCAAAGTGCCAGCCAGCAAACACAGCAAGTCTGAAAAGCCTCCTTCAAGGGAGACACTGCTTCCAAGACATACTTGAATACACTTGGGCTTTTTTTCTCTTCAATGACAGTCTCTTTAATCCTCCAGCTGGTAAACAACCCAATCTGTGGTGCACAGCAAAGTCTGGAAGGAAACCTCCTGATCACTGAAGCTCCATTTTGTTCCACTGGAAGGAGAAACTCAACAGCTTCACATGGGCCATGAGGGAAGGGGCCAGGAGCTGCACAGCCCAGCAAGCCCAGAGCACAGCAGAGTGCCCAGCACACTCACAGCTCCATAGCAAACCCAGAGCACAGCAGAGTGCCCAGCACACTCACAGCTCCATAGCAAACCCAGAGCACAGCAGAGTGCCCAGCACACTCACAGCTCCATAGCAAACCCAGAGCACAGCAGAGTGCCCAGCACACTCACAGCTCCATAGCAAACCCAGAGCACAGCAGAGTGCCCAGCACACTCACAGCTCCATAGCAAACCCAGAGCACAGCAGAGTGCCCAGCACTCACCAGGCTGGAGCTGCTGGAGGCACTGGGAGGAAGGGGCTGGCTCCTTACTAACTTCTGAGCCACGCTGGACTGTGGCAAAGCTCAACAGTGCAGCAAAGGAAGGGACTCTCCCTTTTATGCTGGGGAGTAAATGAGTATTTATATAAAAATGGGATGGTGTACAGACACACATATGCAGACAAACATAAGCCAAATGTCTATTAACTATTATAACCATACACAAAAGTAATCAGTATATAATATGTAGATTGACCCAGCAGTAATTCTATTATACATTATAATATAATCATTATTTTCATTGTATATTTGTGCACACATGAATGTATCAAAGTGAGGCTGTTCTTGTTTCTTGTGTCCCTGGGAGCTCCCCAGTATCTCCTTGGGGGCCTTGCACAGGGTTCAAAACCAGCCTTGGGCCAGACTCCAGGACCAACCTGACCCATTTAGAGTCTCTTGTCCCCAAGCTCTGCAGCCTGAGGCCAGGATGGGACCCTTTCAGGGGGCTGGGGGGACATTACTGCCATGGTCCTCTCTTCAGTGCCACATCCCCACCTCCAAGAGGAGGAGAAAAGCAAATCCAGTCACACTTTAGAGGTGGCTCAGGTCTCCTTGATGCTTTCGTCCTCTAAAAAGAAAAAGGGACACAGTGAAACACTTTGAAAAGCCCAACCAGGAGCCCTCAGAGAAATGGTTCCCAGTACCCGCACAGGGAATTTCACCGCCTGTAGTTGGGATCTCCGGTCACACGGGGTCCTCCTCGCTCCGTC